TTATGTCCACGGTTGATAAATAAAACTCACACTAGCTGTCTTTACCAGTTCACATCGTTCACTTTTTATCCCATCGTCTCACTCACTGAGGCTCAATAATAATCTAATGTTACTTTTCATCAGCTCAGGCCATCTGTCCTGTCTCACTGTGTGATGATTATTATTCCAGACATCAGTCACTAAAGAGTAAAATCACATCACTCTCACTCTCTGCTGTTTTCATTCATTGAGGAAGTTTTAATATCAATGAAAATGTGTTTTTAATACAACATTATGGCAGCTGGAAATGCACCTCTAAACACTAAACGACACACACTATTATAATGTCTGTATTGTCATCCCTTCAGCTCTGTTGTCTGAGAGCAGCTGTGCCATACTTTAAACCCTATAACAATTTTGCAATCCTTTAGCTGCAGGAAACATATTAATGAACTAAAATCTAATGCTGAGGACTGTCATCAGTTTGAACATGTGAGTGGAAAATATTATGTGAAACGGATCCAGTCTGTTGAATTTCAGGTTGTTTAAGTGGGTGTTCAAGTTGTTTAGACTTTAATATTGAGAGAGGTGAAGGGTACGAGTCTTTTAGCCAGAGGAGAAATGCTCATAAACAGGTGCAATGCTTTATTCTGTTTGTGGAGTTCAGTACTGATGGGACAGGTGGTTGGTGGTTGTACTTGCCAATAGCAAGGTCCAGGAGACGGATTATAGAAAACTTGTTCTATTCATTCAAGGAGATTTCACTTTTTATTAAATACAAGACTGCATTCGCAGCAGTCTCGCTGTCAGGACCATGAGGAACGATTGCTACAGATAAAAAAGATTCATGTCAAAAACTGTCCCTGAGCTGCAAACTTAGCCATTAGTGAACAGAGCTGCATTAGAGATTAACTGACATGGACCAAAAACCAAGACAAGTGACCAGCTCAACATCTACTTTCATTGTTTGGTATAGAGTCAGATGACTCCTTCAGATGAACAATGCTGTTGCTTATCTGTTTGTTAACTTCATCAGTTTCTTCTTTGGTTGGTTGGTAATCGTTCACAGTCCAACAAGCGACTCTAGAGCCTGGAGTTATATTCCTCATCAAATAATATACATAATATATCTGATAAAAATGTCTTCCTGATAACAAAAAGCAGTTTAGGGATATCAGCAGATGAGGTCCGGAGTTTTATTTTGGCCAGTGTTTCACCTGTTTGACTGTGCAGGTGTGAGAAATCAGACCGACTCAAAGTCTGAAATATTGTTTACACATTGTGTTCACACTCTTGTGTTCCTGGTTATGGAGCTTAAAACTGTCTAACTATTAGGGCTGTAAAGTCTTAGTCAACTTATTGATCGATACATGCTGAGTTGTCCAAAATTCTCATTGGTCGACTCGATTTTTTTCTGCGTCAATTTACAGTCTGTTGTTAGTTTCATCAGGAGGAATGTACCAAGTGCTAACGGGGGTGTAATAAGAGCACCTCTGTTTCACAGGTAACAGCCTGTCTTAGAACAACCCCCTTATTTTCACCATTTTGGATTCGCCCAACCCACTGGAGACCGGCTGGGGACAGGAAGATTGAAGAGTGTCCATATTGGTCAACATCTGGTGGTTTGCTGAATATAATATGTGTGTGTAATTGCCTTTTTGTGCTGATATCATTGGTCGATTTTTGGTCGAAAAATTCTGGGTTTTAGTCAACCAAGAATTTCTTTGGTTGATTACAGCTCAACGATTATAACACAATGCTTTACTGTCGTTGTGTTTGATCTGCAGCTGGGAGGTTATCTGGGTCTCCTGCCCAGTTCAGTGTGGAGCAGATGCCCTCCATCACTCAGAAACACAGTCTCATTTGTCACAATCAGACAGAATGTGCTTTCATCCCAACAGAGGATGTGGTCTGTCTTTCACAGTCAGCCGTACCTGTGAGGTCCCTTACTTCAGTCGTCATTTGGACTCTCGTAGCAGCCGCTGAGTTTCGGGCTGTTTTGATCAAATTTGTCCTCTGCTCCGCAGTAAACTGTTTCATTAACACATCAAAAATCAAAGTCTGTCTCCTGAATGCAGGGAGCCGGCCCAACACGTACTCTCTGTCTGTCTGTCTTCTCACTAGGTTTCAAGTTCTGACAAATTGGTCATTTCAGAGCCCATCTGCTGTTTCTGCTCCGTAAATGTTTGTTTAGATCTGTTTGGAGATTTTTTTTATCATTTGCCTTTGTCAAAAATATCAAAAATAAACGTTTCATTTTTGTATTGAAAACTTTTTTGTAAGAGCATCAAAAAGAGACATTATGAACCGAAGCTCAAGGTGAAAGCAGGTAACTAATACAGCAATATTTGCCTCCAGGCAGAATAATGACAACAACCTGTGTGTGTTATGGCCTGGAGTTATACTCTCTTTATTAAAGTTTACATTCCTCCATAAATCTAGACTTACCCTCTTCACATGTGCTCTGCTGTAGGGTTTCATGATTCTGGCCTAAAATCCTGATTTTTTTCTCTGAAAACTCAATGTTTGATTTTGATGACAACTTCACCAAACTTCACTTTAATAAGTTTTTCTATCATCTCTCAAAAGGAAACCACTGAAAATGATGGAGTGCACATGCCATTTCAGTAAGTGGCGCTGTAACGCTGCTGAGGAAATGCACAAAAGACAAAAAAGGAGTTCAGAGCATGTGTATAAAGGTTGTTTTGGCCAGACACGCGCAGGCACTTTGAAAGAGTTACGCTGTGTGTCATACAATCGTTTTAAGAGAGATGCAGATAGGCATCCACACGGAGATGAAATGGTAGTCGTTTACAGATTCATGCACTTTGACCAGTTTTCAAAAAGTACAGTTTACAGTCACCCGAAACGCGGTTTCCATGTGGATGAGACGCCAATATGACAAAAAACTTTTATGTTTACTCCTGAATTTGTTTCCGTGTGGACGGGTTGATACCACCTTAAGACAGACTTTGCAGAGGGGAGTGGTTTGCTCTTCATCCAAAACTGCGAAGCCCAACCAATTCCACACGACTGACTTGCTCTTGCCCCGTTTAGCCACAAAATTATCGCCTTCTTTTACAAATGCCATGTTTGTTTACAGTGGTGTGAGTGGGAACTGGGTAGTGCTCCCGCAGGAGGGGGGAGCCCACGGTGGCCTGGAGGCATGAGACATGATAGAGAGGAAAACTGATTTGAGGATTTTATTTTTTTTTAACATTGTCATAATCAAATAAACTGGTTATGATTTAAAAGTGATTAACCATGCAGCCCTGCTTTGCTGAAAGTTTAACCAGGCAGTTCCCTCACAGAGTTACGAACAGACAGATGAGACGGTCATAATGTTGACTAAATATCAACATGGCATTAAAAGCAGAGGCTGACAGTTTCTGCCCTTGTATCAAGTGCTACATGTGAACAGACTTGTTCACAGTATCAACAATGATTAAGCTTCATTTCTGAAGTCTCACCAACCATGAAGGATCACAGATATCTATCATCACTGTTGAAAAAAAGGCTAAACTACAGGAGATACATGGATGTGATCAGTGTTGGGTTCATCATACAATATACTGAGTGTCACAGAACCAAAGGGGTTTACCGTTCATAATTTTAATAACAGGACATGCTAAAGACAAATTGTGTGTCAGTCAGAATCACTTAAGTACTGCTCAGTAAAAGGCCTGATAACAAAGCAGTCTGACATGCAAATGGATTCAAGGAAGAAGATTGAAAATACATTCAGTGTGAACAAAAAAAAAAAAAAAAAAAACAGCAATCCTTTCAAATGGCGCTGCAGCCTGCAGGGATTCAAGTGAAGGGAAGATGATGGGCTGAGAGGATCCCCCTCAATATTTAACCACCTAAGCATCCTTTGCATGCATTTGAGCACATGTATGGGAGTGAATATGCAGATGCCCTTTTTCTGACACTTTCTCCTGTTTTCTCCAAACCAGTCAGGGCTGCTGCATGTTTCATGTTTCCTGACACATTCAATATTCAACGGGTTCTCACGCAGACAGAGAGCTTATTTATTTATGTGTGCACATAATGTCCACACACTTTTTGTCCACAGCAGATCAGGACAATCAGAGCTTGAAAACACACAGTCAGCATGCCAGTTTAGACACATGACATCTTACCTTCAAACACTCTCTGTACAGACATCAAAATGAATAACTGACATTTCAGCAGAGATTACAGGACACATATCTGCACTTAGAGTGCATTATGAAAACCACCCCATGGATCACCTCTGATTCTTTCGAGGTGCATATTATAGAAACACTTTAGTGACAAATTCTCAGTATGCAGTGTTTATCACCCACGGCTCTTGACAGTTGACATGATAATCTTTTAGTGCTGCTGGTAAACACAAACCCACATCTTTCAGTTCAGTCAAGCAGCTCGTGAGAAGCTGAACACAAACTCTTAGCTCTCACACTTCGGTGCTAATCACTCACATGTATATCCTGGTAACTTCTTTGGGGTCGGACTTCTTGGAAGAGTTTTACAGTAGAAGGGTTGAGCCTCTTTCCCGCCTTGACATTAAGCTGTGTTATTGTCAGGCATATACTCACTGTTATTCTGTACATGTCCCTGTAACTCCAGCCTCCAGCATTTGTTTACCCTCTACCACCCACATAAATCACACCTATGTCCACTAAAGGTGCAATTTCATCGATGTGTTGATGCTTTGTTATGCTTGATTAGTTATTATTGATTAATTAACTAGATGCTTTAAAAAATAAATTAATAAATAATATTGTCGATGCTTTGCCGCAAGACCTTAAAGCATGCCGGACTGTTTAGTGAGTGGGACCCATAGACTGTATATACTATGGACAACCTGTTTCCGCCTACTGCCTGTATACGGATTTGAAGCCAAAAAGCTCTCGGTAATTCTCGGGTTTTTCTCCGCTCCCTTGAAACCAGAGCTGCGCAGTTGCGATGCACGCATTCGGCTGCGCAGTCGCTGAGAGTCCCTGTGATGACGCTCGGCTCAAACAGCGTATCCCCCAGGAGAGCTACGCAATCCCTGAACGCCCATAGGCTGTACCAGGTGTCAATCATAGAAAATATGAACCCCCTAATAACTTTTAAAAACGGAGCTGTACAGAAAAAAAAAGAGGACTTGAGCACAAACCAGTCTTACTGTAACTACATGTCAACATCACAAGCAGGGGGGAGAAAAATGTATGTTCTGTTTAATAAATTTCTAAAGTTTGTCCACAGCTCCATAAGCTTTGCTGGCGGAGGCGGGATTTATGACCTATACTGCAGCCCACCATCAGAGGGTGCTGTTCCCGGAGTGGCTTCACCCAGCGAGGAGGCAGACTCTGTCCGTTCTATATACAGTCTATGGTGGGACCACAACAAACAGAGCACGTTAGTTTCTTTGCAAAATGACAACAGCTTCAGCAGCCTCCAAAGAGCGGTCGATTCTCTCGCCACTGAGTTGACTGCAACTGTATGAAAGTACTTTGGATTTTATGAGAGGGCGAACAAGACGACTGAGAAGACCTACACCATTTGCAAGATTTGCAAAGCAAAACAAAGAACCTCAGCAACGCCATGAACGTGAGGCAGCACCTCATACGCTTTCATCCAGAAACAGAGAAGGCTCCTCTGGTCATGCTCGCCACACAGAGGACCATCCAGGAGACTGTCTCTAAACTTCCCAATTTAGGTTAAGTAGGTCTAAGTTCAAATGTTTACATAACAGTCATACAGTCATAAAATAAAATATCTCGTGTCTTTGAAAAATACAAGTCAAATGTTTAAAAAACCTTGTTATTTACTTATTGAGTGTAGTTTTAGAGGAACCAAGTTTATTGATATGCTATTTATTTACAAATGTAGCCACAGATGAAGACAAAATCAATCTTGTATGAAAAAAAAGCTTTAAGAATGGCAATAATTGAAGAATAGGGGCACCGATAATTGAATTGAAGTGAATCGACAATCATCATAATCGAAGAATTGAAGCTCCCATAATCAAAATTGAATCGTGGGGTACCCTTGTTGGAACACCCCTAATGTCCACCGTAGGAATGGTGGATGGCTAACACACCTGTAAAATACTCTGCTCACTCTCAAGTTAAAGGAATATCATGACTTTTTTTCCCCACTCACCTCCACTTCTTTACTTCATCATACCGGCTCAGATCGGGGGCTGAGGCAAGTTTCAGGAGAAACAAGATGAAGTTGTTTTTCTTTTTAGAAAATTTAATGTACCCAAATGATTGTGTAATTGCTTGAGCTGTTACCTTGACACATGATCTGTGATAGCCTGGAAATAGCGATAAAACCAGCCGTGGGTACAGTTTAAATGACTCCTGAATTTAAAAACAAAGTCATACTGCAAGGCTCTATGAGTAAAAAAAAATAAAAAATAAAACATTTTTCTCTTTGCTTTCTTCTGTGTGGAGTTCAGGGTCAGCTACAAAGCAGCATCCTACAGTCAGAAAAGATTCAATACACTGCTCAAGGACACTTCAGCAGAGGGATGCTTGCCAACAACACAGGGCCTGAACCTAAATCCCAGATTAAATTCTACCCTCAAACACTTGTCTTCCCTCCATCGCTCTAACTCCCTTGTCCTTCTCGGTATATAGTCATTCGGCTGGCACCCTCATGCAGATAAAGATCCAACACATGTAAGAGCAGAGTGCTTTTTAGCTCCCGGATCTGTAGCTTTACAGGCAACAAAAAGCAAGAAGGTCTAAGGTGACCGGAGAAGGATCGTGGAAGAGCAAAAAGCTGAAAAACACGGTGATGTTTCATCACTTTCACTCACCCACTACCTTCTCACTTCCTTCCCCTAAGCATCTCATTAACTGTCTCTCCCTCTCAGTCAGGGTCATTTTCTGACTCTCTTCTGCTCCTCATCCCAGCATTCCTTGAGTCACCTTTTTCCTAGTCTCCCCACTTCTCTCTGCCTTTCTCCCTAGCTTCTGTTTTAAAGTGAAACGAGTGTGTTTGATGGGGAGCTGAAATAAAGGGTGGAGGAGGGGGACGAGGCAGGGGGGTGATAAGACAGCAGGTCCTATATATAGCAGTGAGCGTGGGTAGATACCGTATTGACAGGGAAGACACACAAATTGTATCTGAAGCAAAGCAGAGGGAGAGGGAGGGATAATGAGCGAGAGAGAGAGAGAGAGAGGGAGAGAGAGACAGAGAGAGAGAGAGTTACGTTTTGTGTTTCTTTGAGAGATCTTGAAAATTATCAGTTAAAATCCATTACTCTCTATTATTCAAAGAATCAGAAGTACCTCTGAACTTTTCTGGATCTTTGAATCCAAACCATAGACTGTCATTGACTGTCCGCCTTCCGTCATTATAAGAATTTGAAGCTGCATTGCTGTCGGTATTTCCGGGAGTTTCTCCACTTCCTGGAACCACCACTTGCGAAGTAGCGTTGTACGCATTCAGTGGAAGAGTGTGATGACGCTCGGCTCAAACAGCGTATCCCACGGGTGAGCTACACAATCCATAGGCTGTATCAAGTGTCAATCAGAAAACACGAACCCCCTAATAACTTTTAAAATGGAGCTGCACAGAAAAAAAGAGGACTTGAGCACAAACCAGTCTGACAGTAACTACATGTCAACATCACAACCAGGGGGGAGAAAAAATTATGTTCTGTGTAATACATTTCTAAAGTTTGTCCACAGCTCCATAGGGATTGTTGGAGGGTGCGGGATTTATGACCTATACTGCAGCCCATCACCAGAGGGTGCTGTTCTTGCAGTGGCTTCACCCAGCGAGGTGTCCCTAACACGTTGCTCACCAGTGTTACAGAACGAGGGCCATTTTGATATCGAAACTTGGTTGTAGTTAAAGTGTGAAAAAAGACGCTTCTTTTTTTCTTTACATAAAAATAATTCTGCACAGTGAAAATACTTGGTGTCAGAAATTTCTGATGTAAAATTACTGAAACTTCTCAGAGCAGCCTGACATCAAATCTTTGGTGACAGTTTCTCAGACTACACAAGAATGTTCACTTTAAACTTTAAAGTTTCCATTTAGAAGAAAACAGGTGTTTCGTCCCTCATAAAGAAGGTTTATGCTCATTTCCAGGGTTTGTATTGTTCTTCTGATAGCTTTATAGTCGCTTTATTTTACAGCTCAATAAATTCTTTATTAATCCAGATCGGCCCTCTTTAAAAAAACATCACTCCAGCCCCAGACTGAAATGTTTCATTTCATCTGCTGTCTCTTCAAGACTCCCTCAGCACTCTGGAAGCGTCCTTCACTATTGTCCTGCAAAACAAAACAGCATTTCTTTATTTAGAGTGACTAAATATAAAATAGGACCATATGTTTTGGATGGGAAATCTGATCCAGAAAGTTTAGACAGAGACAGACACTCCTCAATAACAAATGAGAAAGAGACGTCTCGTTTGGGGATGTTGTGTTTATCACTGTCCTTTATAAGATTGTATTCAAAAAAGGAAAAAAAAGGTAATTTAACTTCGACCCCTGCACACATACATTTTCAGGGAGGGAAAAACTGGTTATGTAGGTGGTGGGAGGGTTAGATGACATCAGATTATTTTTTTTTTTCATTACGCGCTAACTAACAATGTATTGACAAACCCAGGGTTCGAATGGGCAGTAAAGTGGACATTAAAGCCTCTAACATCATCTGCTTAAATTCAGTGACAGACCCGTGACCTTTGAAAACACTGCAGTGACCCCGGCGCATGATGATAAATGCTGAAGGATATGGAAGCTGCAACATCATGGACTAACTTACTCATAACTTACTCATTTTTGTTTTACTTATTTGCAGGAAACAAACATTGTTTGCTTTCTAACCGTCTTTCCTGAGCATTCTCATTTCTGCCAGACTTTCTTTGCTGTCCTCCCAGTTGTCGCCACAATTAACTGTAAGACTCTGCTGGCTTATGTGCATGCAATTCCATATATAAGGGGCTTTCACTAAGCATTGATGAACAAATGCTGGTGTGTAGAAGGCTGAAAACCAGGCTGATCCATGTGAATGTAGTCCAAGATGGGTTGTAACTTGTAAAGAAAACAATGTGTGGATGAGTGCATGTCCACAGTTTTATAAATCTGAATCATTTTTTAAAACACGTCATGTCTGCATGGTTTGAGTATTCCCACTTTTAGCATGGACTCTAAGTACTGTTTTATAAATGAGACTCTTCCTGAGCTACAGTCATGAGGCTATTTTAGGAGACTCATCAACAGGTGATGTCATAATAAATGTGTTGTGGCTCTCCCCTCCTCATCATGAGACTTTCTGAACAAACCACTGAGAGCTGGTTGTAGTCTTATCTTGGATGAGACGCTATTTGATGCAAGTTTGTAGCTTTGCCCAACATCTTAACTCAGTGCGTCTTTGAACTAGGGCTGTCAAAATGAATGCATTAACACGGATTAATCCATGATTAAATTTAATTTTTTTTAACACAATCAAACCATCTACAGCACAGAATGACTAAAATTCCCTGAAATGTCTCAGGCAAATACATTTTGTCCGAGTAGTGTTACCGTCGCACATGTGCGAATGAGCTGTTGATCCTAATACAGTGCCTGTGTTAGAGTCAGCATTAAACTAGAACATGACCAGATGAAATTGTTACCTCCACACACGGAAATAAAGGTCTCATATGCGCTTTTGGTTACCGTCTAGAGCCCTGTTAATATGGAAAATGCGAAACAACACATTGGCCCTCTCCATGCGAAAGTTGAGAACAAAAACGCATGACAGAACAGTCGACCAACGTGAAGTGTTTACGTACACTCTGCTGGAAGGAGTTTTCTTTTCACCAAAGCACTTCCAGCTAAAAATACTGCATCAACACAAAGCATAGGTGTTAAACGTGCATAACATGTTTAGTGCATGTATATATTCCCTTCTTCCTTGACTCGCTTTGCTCATGCAAAATGAAACACGATTAATATAGGCAGAAAGTGCTGATTGTTATAATACATGCAGCAGCCCACTGCATGTTTCTGCGTGTGCATATGGAGACAAGTGGATCAATGTACTGTATTGTAAAAAATGAGATGCTTTTCTGCCATGATCATAAACAAAGGAAACTATATTGACTTTTGAAGCTGTTCATATATCCTCTTTGTTTTGCCATTAACCCCTCTCTGAGAGGGGCTCATCTCTCCCTCCTGCTTCATATCCTCACACTCCTTTCCTTTTCCCATTTTTCCTCAACAACACCACAAGCAGTATTTCAATCCTATGGCTGCCATCTCCTCCATGCTTCTCTTGTCTTGTATTTACCTTCTTCTTGGTTCTCTGTCAAGTCCTAGTTTGAGACCTTTTATATTTCAACTGCAATATGATATGATTGGACTGAATGTGAAAACAACTGTAACAGAATCAGCAAAATCAACATCTGCTGCGAGTGAAAAAACTGTGAATGACAGTAAACGAAAAGAGGAAGTAAACGTTGATGCAGCAATAAAACAGGAACAATGCCAGTCTGACCCCCCACCCCTCTGTTTATGAGTGGGTTAGCTGCTCTGAGAGGGCAGAGGAAAAAAGAAACTGTTCTTACTTCCTTGACTTTAATTGCATTCACAAAGTTCGGCTCTGGCTTCTCACTTGAATGGAGCTCTGAAACGAAGCCAGTGGGGAAGTCTGGCATTAATTCACATAAAAACATTAAGCACTCAAAACATCCCAGGTTCCACTGTGAGGAGTTTTATTTCTCACCCTGAGGTCTGGTTCAGTGTGTGTTTTTTTCTCCTGCAGAAGAACGTCTAAAAAAGCTGTTTCAGTCTAAAGCCCAAAACCCACAGGATGTGTGTTAGGCGTGTTCTGTCAGCGCTCCATTCTACGCAGCAAATACGTTCCCATTTTAATCAATGAAGCATCGCGCACAGGAAGTGTTGCAGTGCATCTCAGCTCCGTCCCAGAAGTGTCTCTATGGTGCACCGCTAAAGATACACACTGAGTCTATATTTCACCGGAGCACACGCCCAGCCCGCATCAATCTGCACGGAGAAGATCATCTTAGACAGGAAGTCAGGTACAGGAGAGACGCAAGTCATTTGGTAAATCCAAAATCAAACACCATATGTGGACCCCCCAAATGTTTATCTGTTTGTGTAGATGAGGAATACTTCCTGGTTATGGATTTACCATTAACACAGAACAACCCCAGGGCCAATCCCTGATTCATAAGGTAACAGCACAGCGTAAAGCAAAATAGTTTACTTTACTAAACACGAGTAAACCTGCAAAAATCATTACTTTAAAATTTTCAGTGCACCAGGGCTGCACTATGCTGCAAATATGCTGCAAACACGCATCCAGTGGGCAATTATGCATGCTGTCCTAGGGGGCCGGGACAAGACACTAACAGAACATGCCCAATGCGGAGCCTGTGGGATTTTAGTTTTAAGTCTGAGAACACATCTCATAGTAACAGAAAAAAATACAGCCATCATGTGTGATGAATGCTGTTGTCTGATGTCCACCCTCCACACCACACACTTTGATTTCACTGTGGCGATTACAAAGACTCAACATCTCACAGCATGACAAACAAACAACAGGACAAACAAACACAGAGGATGATCAGCGTGGTCACCTGGTTGTCCTATCTGTCTTCTGTTTAGCAGCAAAAACAAGATAAAGCAAAGGATTGAACTCTTGCTGTCAGTAAATGGACTGTGCTCTTGTGCTCTTTCTGGTTTCCTGGCCATTAAAAACAGGTCTCAATTAGACCACATTCAAACACTGATGGCAGAGGCTGCTATTCAAAGTACCTTGAGTACTAACTAATCCAACACACTATTGGGGTGGGGGTCTTCCCTAAGGACACTTTGGCGTCTGATAAATCAAGCCCCGCGGTGGGTCCAAAGTCATCTACTATGTGGCCAGTCTATGAAACACCAAAAGGAGGTCACACATACTTACTATAGGTTATTGGAAAAAACACGGCTACACTAGAGCCCATAAATATCAGCCTAGCCCTCTGAGGCCAAATCATCATCTGACCGTATCTCAGTTATCCCAGGACAGTCCTCCTGGTGACTGGCCTGCACCATGTTTCTTCTAATGTATGTATAATCAATCTATTCGTCCCATGGGGTCTGTCTCAGTTGTTAACTAATCAATAACACTATTCCCATTAAAGGTATTTTGGGATCAATACTGCATTCAGATTACAGCTATGAGCTAATCCATACTATTAATATCCAATCAGCGAGTGAATGAGCCCTGGACATGGTCTTAAATCCCAGCACAGATAAACAAAGCAAAGTACTCTGTTTACAGTGTGTCTGTGAACAAAGAGGTGGTGTACTGGGAAACCACAGGGGTCATACTGGGACCAGCTGCTCTGAAGCAGGCCAACCACAGACATCATCACTGTACATGAGGTAAACATGGTTTAATGCGCCGCGGATTATCTGTGTGACAGCACTGCCTACAGGGAACTTATTTACTGTGAGTTTCAGTTGAATTACTTTGACTCATACTCTTCTTTGTTTAGTATTTTCTGAGTATCTTATTTCTGATTTTGGGCAGGTATCACAGTGACATAGAACTCTACCGTTTGTGAAGGTTACTAACTAAGAGTAGCAGATCGTATGTGGCAACAAACTGCTCGATATGCCAGTTAAAAAAATAAATAATAAATTACTGTTCAGGATAAATGACTGTCTGCAAGAATTTAAGTGATATCCTCCGGAACACCAAAAGATAGAGCTGGAAGCTGGTTTATCATGGACCTAGTACACCATGCTGAGTTACCCCCAAATTCCACCACATGCAGAACGGCACCGCTGCAGCATCCAGAAAAAAATAGAACCCTGGCGATCAGAACTGCAGGGGGGCAGAAAGAAGCTGGTGGACTTTGACACATTAACTTCAATAGAAACAATCAGCACTGCTTTTTCGCCACCGTTCCGCATGCGATGGAATTTGAGGGGTTACATGCACTGAGACTGTGCCCTCAAAACAGGATGTTCCCCCTGACCTGCACTACTTCAGTCTGCTTTAAAGGCAGAACAAATCCAAAAGGGTCCTGCTCTGCACCAAAAGCTGCTCTGAGGACTGAATTAAAAAGTGATCTGCCAGTTTTCATGTTCAAAGTTGGTCCTCAATAGTTAGGGTATTCTTCTTTTGGGTACTATCACATCTGGGTCATTTGGTGAAACAGTCCTTAAATATGGGCTGTTTCCCACCTTGATAAAGTTTGAATGGATATACTCAGCTTTTGTTCAACCAAACCCTGGAGCAGGTCTTCTGCAGTAAAAAGACATTTAATCCAGCAGGTAGAACAGACAGCAGCTTGACTCATCATTGTAGTAGTACTAAACTGATAGTAACAGATGCACTGATACAGCGATTATGAGATTAGGTCTCTGGGTAACACATGCTTCAGTGAGTCCACTGCAGTTTTGTTTGGCTCAAAGAAATGATTAAAAATGTCCCAATCTGGGTAAATAGCCCATCTACAAACCCAATTTATTTTCAGTAAGCACAGCTTCCCAATCTTCATAATCCAGGTTTTAAACTCCAGACTTGAAGGGTGGCTGAGGAACAGTCTGGAAACTTCTCTGACAGATCAACCCAACTTGTACATGGTGTGCTGCCATGCCTGGAGCAGATGACTGCACATAGAAATCCATGACTCGCTGATGTCAGAGGGAAAAAATGAGTCAAACACTGGAACTTTTAAAGCCCAAGGGATATATATATATATATTTACATATATATATATATATTCTCACAGTATGTATTTTCAAAAGCTTTTTCACAGTTTTATGTTCTAAATCTTGAAAGCATTTAGAGTCATGCATCTCTTGTCACCATACTTCATTTCTGTGTCTCTCACATGTTGACTATGTGCATGTTGTTGAGGTTTTCCTTATCATCCTCCTCCCTGCACAAAGTTTAAAAAACTCCCAAGGCTTTTGCAGTGAAATGTCATGTCAGCTCTTGACACCTGAGATGAAAAATGGCTGTCTTCTGACTCAGGCAGCACAGATTGGGAGGCTGAGGACAAAATCTTTGGTCCAGCTAAATGAGACTTAAACTCATGGTGGACTCATGGTGTCATGTAAACCTGTGTGAGCTGGGCACATAAATATGAGTAAAATAAAAACTTTAACCCTCATCATTTAATCAGCTGGGGTCTTCATTTATAAATCATGTTTAACAAGAACATAGTTTTTTCTTTGGTTGCTTAGCTAGCCTGTTCAGAGGTCAGAGTTCTCAGTCATGGGGTGAGGTTTAATAGAGAGTAAGAAGCTAAACTTTTGCCCCAAGCAAGTGTCCACTCTGAGAGTCAAGTCTCAAAACACAAGTACACACACTGAAACCTTACCCTTCAGGTACAGCAAGTGCTTTATTCAAAGAGACAGTGATTCAGTAAAGGTGGACTTTGTGCAACATCCTTCTGCTCTCTGCACATGCATGAAGCAAAGGTGCGTCAGGCCATCCATAATGAACCACTTGGAGAGCAGAGAGAGGTACAAGACCTACTTTGTTGGTCTTGGCCACTCCAGGTATATGCACCAAACAAAGCTAATGGATACAGACAGTATGTGTGTATGAAAAGGAGAGTATGCCTCTGTATTTGTCTTTGTGTTTTCCTTAAGGAGGTGGATTAGATATATATGTGTGTTTACCTTGCTTGGGGCCATAGGTGACCCTGACCTAAAGTACTGGAGGAATACTGTGACCTGATGGGACATGCACATGCATCTTCCCTTCTCTCTGATTATACTCAGTGAGATATCAAGTCGAGTTTTTTGTTTTTTTTTTACTACCATTATACTGTTGATGAGTACTGGATCAATAATGAGCCTTCTTTGAATGAGGGGACTTAGATCAGGTACTTTACTGATATAATCCAGGTGGGCAGGTTTGCCACACTCTGCAACCAAGCCATACATGGGGATAAGCTGTGTTCTCAACAAGAAGTGAATGACCACAGGGTGGTATCTAAATGGTGATTTAAAACCTGATCAGTACTATTATTGAGACTCAAAAACTTCAATGATATTGACTGTTTGATTGACAAGATGCAAGTCTAAGGACCTGAAGTGTTCAAGAGCTGTCCAGGGTCCTGAAATATCTCTGAGCACTGATTTATTGTGTAGGTTATAATATTGTAACTCGTTACTAGAAATTTGAGGATCACTACTACTGGTAATAATAATAATAATAATAATAATAATAATAATAATAATAATAATAATAATAATTTCTAAGGTTGAGGTGTTGTAATATTGAAACTTGTATCATGCTCAGACACTATTTCTTAGTGGCGGTGTTTTAAATAAAATCATACACAGTCCTCTTGTTTAGCTTCACCTTTAATTAGAAAATGTAATTAGGAAATGTAATTTGAAATAAGTTTTTTTCTATAAAAAGTGGTGAGGCTGAGCAAGTGTAATGTGCAAGATTTTGTCTTTTTCAGGCCTTTGCTTCACACCCTCCACACTGACCTCATAGGACAGTTTGATATGTGACCAACGTTAAAAAAGCTGAATTAAATGACCAAATCTCCCATAAGGATGCTTTAGCAGCTAAAAGTTGACCTCCAAATGTAAATAAGACCTTCATTAAATGATCAGTGAGTAGTGTGTCCAGTTTTTTAATGTCTGGAACCAGTATGGGAGGAAGGTAGCAGACCAGACCTCCGATGGCAGTCTGAAAAAATAGCCTTCCTTTACGTTTTCAAAAGCAAATACTCACAATGAGTGATGTTGTGGCTGGTTAATGATAACAAGATGAGATTCTTTTTGTCAGAAAAAAGGCAGAGTGATATAACGTACATCAGGGGACCAACAAATGACACAAAACCAAAACATTCCCAGATAACTGAGAAGTTGATTTGACTACAAATCAGAACTTCAAAAAGCATGGTTCACTCAAAAAGAATGTGATGTTTAGGTTTGAAATGTGGTTTCAAGATGGGAATTCTTGTGTCTGCTATTTTGTAAATGGAGCTGCTGTGTGAGACTCCGATAATAAAGTCATCAGCATGATTTAAAAGTGTTTATCCGACACAAGTTTAGTGTGTGACTCTTCTCGTTCATCACACTGTGAACTCTGTGCAGACTACCTTGATGGCATTATGTCTGTAATCACTCAGACAACGTAGAGCTCCCTCCAGTCAGCACTCCTCCTTTGTACTCCTCACCAGGATCTGCGTTTTAAGAGCTGCAAAAACTTGTTTGAAATGTTAAGAGAGACAGAAGTGCTGCATTTGATGTTCAGTGTGTGAAATTGAATGCTTTCCAGGCTAAATGGTCTGTCTTTAGGAAAAAGATATATTTAACAAGTTGTTCAACATGACACGGAAACCCAGAGAAGGAAAGAGGAGCAGGAAACAGAGAGCACAAAGCGCTGAAATAGAGGAACAGAGAACGCGTACAAAGCTGTGAGTCATGAAAGAGGGAGAGCGGAAACATCGGCAGAAAAAAGAGGAACAGTCTCTAAAGGCTGTTAAAATAAAACCAGCTAAATGAGTTGATTATATAAATAAGCTCAGAAAATTTAGAGCAAAACACAGAGAGAGGGAGAGGGAGGACATGAACGCCCAGAGGGAAGGGGAGAGAATCGAATGAAAGAAAGGAAGAGAGGAGTGGGTAAATTCATCTTTTAGTTTGAAATTAAAACAGCTAAATGATCCAATTATCTAAACAAGCCCGGCGATTGGAGTCGGACAAGAGTACATTCAATAAGAGATGTTGAATAAAAGAGGAGGAGGAACTCATTAAAATGAAAACAGCAAAACGAGCTGATGTTCCTAAACGAGCTCAGGGATTTGCGATGCCTATCACTGCGTGCGAGGCCCGGACATCCCTTCAATCATCCAAAGCTAATCTGTGAGGCCCCAAAATAAACCAAGTCTGTGGATCAACCTAAATACCACCAACATGCTACAGAGATGCACACAGGAAAGCAAAGAAAAAACACTCGATATTTAACCCATTGACAAAGACACAGCGGTTTCCTCTTTTCCATATACGAGCTCACATGTATGCCCTCCAGCAAGACTCAAGGCTACCAATCCAAGCAAAGCCCTGGACTAAAACCCCCATAATGCACTGTTACATTCACACCCGGAAGGTTAAAGGCTTCATGTGGATGCATTAAGCTCTAAAATAAATATGAAATAAAATAATGTATTTCAGATCCATATCACAGCACTGCGCATCAGTATGCGAATAAGACATTAGTCACTATTAGTAAATTAAAGGCTCTTTCTCACTTTTCTAAAACTTAATTGAACTGATTATTTCTTTAATGTTCAAACACGAAAAAGTGACTGAAGCTCGAGGACCACATTTCAAACATGCATCAGGTAGCATTGATCCGTATGTCCAAAAGTATCTGATTCTCAACAGTCACACCTAACACACACATCCCAAACCTCATCCATTAGCCGAAGGCTGCCAAGTCAACTTGCCTGAGGAAAGAACAACACTAATGAATTTTAATGGGTGTGGTAACCTAAAATATTCAAAACACTATGTGTGTATGTGTGTGTTTGTGTGTGTATGCGTGTGAATGTGTGAGGTAATGATCTTAAAGTGTGCTGCTCTGATGGCCGATGCTTTATCAGCGTATAAAAATACTTTAGTGTTTAAACTTTAATAACAGTATGAAGGTATAAAAGCAAAAATGCTTTACTGTAAATTTTTCTTTGATATAGATTTTTCATGTTGTTATATAGGCTTCAGCATAGGCAAACTTATCTGAGTGTAAATCATGACAAGGGTGATAACTTTATTTCATTATGCAATCTGCCATTAAAAAAAGGGATCTGAATCTTGAACCCTAAAAATAGACTTCAAATCAATCCTATATAAAAGAAGGCCACAGTCACATTGTGTTGGTGTAAACATGCTATAGTACTCCACACATCAGAAGAGTGGTAGAAACTTATTTTTGATGTTGGTCATTTGATATAACTGTTTTCAATGTATTGGTCCCCTGCTCCCTGCTGCTGTACCTTTGCCCAGGTCTGAAGACATTCAGCATATTTGATATTCTCAGCAGCAGCACAGCCTTGTCCAGGCACATCCTTAGATTTAATCAGCTACTTTCTGAGACATTCCTGATGCTGCAGTGCAAAGGTCTCTAAAATGTAAATAATAAAATAAAAACAGCTGTTGCTGTGGTGACACATTGTTTGCCATTCAGGATGCAGGAAAATCATGCAGCTCTGTACACAAGTTTTAGACTGTGGATGTTGGCGAGGGAGACTGGGACAACAGTGTCCCCGAATTATCTGAATACAACCCCGACAGAATGTTTGACATAGTTTTGATATTTGGTAGGAATCTCGATCCTGTCAAGACCAACAACAATGTCTCTTGGACCCTTTTCATGAACACAAAGGTATGTCTTTCATTCTGACTTTGTTGTAAAGTAACTATGTATTTTTTTGTGGTCAGTTTCCAGAGATTGTACTCTTGTACTCTCTTCAAAATTTATCTTTATAGATCGCTGCTGTGGTCAAGCAAACTGCCACCTATAGGTAATGAGCAGTATGTGATACTTGACCTGCATGCTCCAAATTTAACATAATGCTTGATAACGCTGTGTTTGCTAGCACGACCTACGAGTTTCTTATTCAAAGACGACAGCTGTGACCTCCATCAGCTGTCCTACACTCTTTGGATGGGAGGCTCCTTTGATTTAGATGCTGTTTTTGGTTGTCTTGTACTGGGTTTCTCACAGCTGTTAAATGCCAGGACCTTAAACACTCGTTGTTTTCATGTTATGCAGCTTCAAGCATCTGTGTTTGTGGGTTTCCTTCTTCATCATCAGCCTGGCCTCCTCAACTTTTCAACTTTCTACATTTGCAAGGGGCTCCACGCTGCTTGCATTTTAAATCATTTTTAAAGTGAAAGAGCAGCTTGTACCCTGTCTTTAAGGGCGCTAATAATTTGATAAGCGGAAGAACATCTTGTCTTCCTTTGTGGTCCAAAGAGTAGGCACGCAGATGTGTGTGCCCCCCTCTCTAGCTGTTTTTCCCTGACAGCCAAAAACACCTATAGTGAATAAAACATCAGGTATAAAGCCTTGACACATAACCCAGTCTGACGGGCCCAACAGCCAGCGATGTTGGGCTTCAGAGAGTTGCTGATAAGGTTTAGAAGAGGGGGATCAGATTAGAGGATTAAATGAAGATAAGGGTTGCAAATTATTCTCTAACTGACTATCTGACGATTGCTTATCCTCTTCCTTTAGCACAACAATCACATCATAGCTCAGTAGCCTAAAGATTTCAAAATATTAATTGGTGGTTAAAGATTTTGTCCCTACTGAAACATTTCAAAGCAAAAAGACAAGAAAGAGATCTACAAGTAGATTCTATGTAGTCTCGTCTGTGGGTGTTTAAGGGGACAATGTCTTTTGGGTGTAATACTATTGGAGAATTACTTCTGTGCTATTATTGAATAATGTTGGGATACTTCATCCATTCAGGTACTACAGTCAGAGAGAGAAGCCAAGACACACAATTTTCAGTTAACCCTTTGTATTCTTCTCTTTAACAGCGTTTTCACAGTACTCATTTTTCACATTGATTGTACATGGTTTCTGTTTATAAAAATAAACATAAGGCGAGAAATTAAAACAGTGTCTAACAGACATAAACACGGTGTTAGCTTTAATAACAGGATATAACAAGTATACTCGGTAAAATATAAATGAACTTAATGCAAATCAAGAGCCGTACTTGGTTGAAAACACAGACTCCTTCAACATATACATTGAGTTAATATTACTTACTTCTTCACAAACGCACAACAATCAACTTAACGATCAACTTAGTATTTGATCGCGGCATTTCACGGTAATCTCTGCAATTGGACTCCCAAACTGTCCGTATCAATGCCTGAACAAAAATTGGTTAAATCCCAAGGACCCAAACAGGTGCCTGAACAAAACGTACTTAAAGTGGTTTCAACACACACACAGGAAAAGAAAAACATAGGAAATTAAAAACAAATACTGTAGACAGACCAAACCTTCTACTGTTATCTAAAGACAGTAGGTATAATATGGTTGGAGTTTCTATCTCACTTGAGAGGATGTGCTTTGGAAGAAGAACCTTGGCTGGGTTTCAAGCCTATAAAAGGTGCGAGTTGATTTTCAAAGCCTGCTTTGAGTCATGAAGTCTGTGAGTTTTACTGTGAATCATGGTTTCTAATTTACAATAACATATCATCAGCAGTGAGAGTTGTTAGGTGAGGGTAAATGCAGTTTCGCACAAAAACTTCTGTTCAGCTAAAGTCTTTGACAGCCTAATCTGTTTACACGTAAATTTGCACATCCCAGTTATGCATAAATACACCAAATGCTATTACCATGCAAAGAAGGCTTTAGCAGAGAGGGAGAAAACCATAAATGGGATGAGTTGTAAACATGGCTGGTATTAAAACAACCATTTTCCATCTATCTTATCCAGCTTTGTCAGAAATCGGATGGGAATATTATAATGGTCTGGGTGGAGGTGTGTGGAGAGAAGCCGCTTTTTTGGTTGGCTGGACTCAGAAAATGAGTTCACGGACAGCAGGGTCAATCTCTGGGGCTTTGGATTTCACACAGGCCCTTTAAATACAGCAGGCCTTTTCTTTGACAGCTTTTAAAGCGCCTTTTAATGAATAAAAGATCGTTTGTGAAGGCTCACAACATAATCGCATCTGAAGGTCCTGACCACCAGAAACACTTAATGTTCTCTGGTGATGGACTTTGGCTTTTAATTGCAGTGCGGATCATGTGTTTGCAGCTCAGTCTCACACCAAAATCCCAACAAAGAAGAAAGTTTCATCAGTGTGTAAATTCATACTGATGACTGTGTTCATTTGAACTGACTTGCGATTAGAATTTAACCAAAACGTTGAAATTTCTCACAAGACTTCCTAACTGTGCTTTAAAAGCTTCATGTTAGTCAGGACCTCGAAGTGAAGTCGTTATCAAACCAACTCAGAGTCCTCTCATAAGAACCATTAAAGCTGTGTGTGTGTGTGTGTGTGTGTGTGTGTGTGTGTGTGTGTGTGTGTGTGTGTGTGTGTGTGTGTGTGTGTGTGTGTGTGTGTGTGTGTGCTAAAAATACATGAACTTAGCGGGACACTTTTGTCTTGGGTCATTCTTCTGGAAATTGCTCCAAGGGTGGGGTGAAGGCTTGATGTGTTGGAGTACACGGTGAATGTATGGAGGAATGAGGAGAGAGATAGAGATAGAGCATGTAAAATACAGGAGACAAAGAGAAAGACAGAGACACAAAAACAACAGGGATACAGCCTCTGGCCTGTTCTACTTCTTGTTGTTTTGGAGAGGTTTAATGGCTGCCCTAAAATACACTGCCGTACACCCACACACACACACATACACACATACACGCACCTCTCACACATGCCTGACTAGACCATGCTTCCTTTGCTGTTTGAAATGTTGCTATCAAATCTGAAATGGACACAAAGCACAAACGATACAGCAGAACGGCCAAACTATTTCTGACACACAGTCTGTTTGCTCTGCTGAACTGTTTACTCTCAGGCAGTGAAGGAGACTACATTATTGATATTTTTAAATGTTTCACAGCTTTGAACACCCTCAGTGAAATTCAGCTCTTCTCCTTCACGTTGGAGTGCAGGATGAAATCTCTATTTGTTGTTTTGAAAACCTCTCCGGGCAAACATCTTAATGGTCGGTTCAGCAAACGCAGGGTTACTTTCTCCGTTGTTGGCCGTGTTGATAACCAGAGAGAGCAGAGCCAGAGCCATGCGGGGATTTTATAAAAAGACCTTTAGAAAATCTGGGGAAAATTCAAAATCAAAGAAAATTATCTCAGCACACACTTCAAAAATCAATGGGCTGGAAAATGAGTACTTGGCTGGTTTCCTGCCAACAATCAATCCACGCCTGGTTACTCAATGCTCTACTTTTGTTAAATCCAGGAAAACTCTGCAAAGATATCACAAGAGGATCTTTTAGCTGAGTGCTCATGACCTCACCAAGATCTCAAAGTGAACACCAAACCATTATCTCACTCACCCTATAATCTAAAGAGCCACATATGGTATAAAGTACATGGAGATTGATTGGGGGGTAATCTGGGTCTGATACCCTTTACAAGAGCTTATTACACATGTCAGTTATAGCAATGCCCAGACTTAAATAAGTCAGTATTGTCAGTGGCGGTATAATGTAGATATGACATTTATATGACAGGAAATATGGGAGTTGATTCCAGCAACTAGCAGTAAATGTCACTGTTTCGGTCAGTGCAAGCACTCAGTTGTTTTTTTTTTTTTTTCTCAAAGCATGAAATCTATATTTTGGTTCCCTGCTCCGCTCCTCTGTTACTGAAATAACCAAGTAGTAGGCCTACACTTTCACTGCTAAGAGCTACGCTCAATGCAGGAGAGAACCATAACAACACAGCAATTTGCCCGGCCTCCCTCACACCTCCGCCCGCTGAAAGTTAACTTCCCCTCCATTCCTCACAGAGATGTGAGTCTCAGGATTGGACAGAGCAATAGATAGCTCCATAAAGAACCCGAGATTTGCAGCCTGGACCTGCATGTGTTTGTGTGTGTATGTGGGTTTGATGTGGGGCAGAGTTTATGAACCTATAAAGTCTTCAGGGATAAAAGTCACACAACACTAGGAGGTTAAACGGCAGATAGAAAGAGAGAAAGAGAAGAAATATGAGGTTCATTTTGAAGACAGGGTTGACAGAGATGGAGTCTGTCTCTGTCTCTAACTGTGGATGTTCCAGCCAGAGTTTCTACTTTGCTTAAAAGCCTGTTCCTTCGCATCCTCCCGAAAAATCCTTATATAAGCCCCGTCTACCATGTGTGGGTTTGGTGTGCGTGTGTGTGTGTGCATGTGTGTGTGTGTGCATGCATGCGTGCGAGCGTCCGCGCGTGCGTGTGTGTGTGGCTGGCTGACTGAGTGTAAGTGTTGTTTCATGCATGGCTTTCTGCTCACTGAAATGTAGTTTTTAAGGAGTGGGCAGTATTTTCCAACATTGCCTCAGTGTGCATTAACACATGTACTTTGTCCTCTATGCATACTTATTGGGCGTCTCTAACGTGTGTCTGTATTTATTCATGTGTATGTTTGTATGGGAGTTGGGACGGTCTCCTGTGTTTCTTTTGTGGGGGGAAAAGAGCCAGAGAAGAGGGCTGAAGGACTCCTCTTAGTTGCACATGCTGAAACAGATCCTTGTGTACCATTATTGAAAATCTAAAGTGAGCAGCACTTGTACATTTCCTGTGTGGACTCAGAAGTTGCTGAGAGCATTGTGGTTTAATGGCTTTTAATGGTTCTATGGCTTAAAACTCTTGCATTGTTTGAGGACAGATTTAAGAAATGGCTGTGCCACAGAACGTTTGAGTTATCTTTTATTATTATACATTATGTGGCTATGAAATCAGCGAGAGTCGCTGTGATGACGCTCGGTTCAAACAGCGTATCCCCTGGGAGAGCTACGCATTTGCTGAACGCCCATAGGCTGTATCAGGTGTCAATCATAGAAAACATGAACCCCCTAATAACTTTTAAAAACGGAGCTTCACAGAAAAAAGAGGACTTGAACAAAAACCAGCCTTCCTGTAACTACATGTCAACATCACAACCAGGGGGGAGAAAAATTTATGTTCTGTGTAATAAATTTCTAAAGTTTGTCCACAGCTCCATAAGCTTTGCTGGCGGAGGCGGGATTTATGACCTATACTGCAGCCCGTCAACAGAGGGTGCTGTTCTCGGAGTGGCTTCACCCCGCGAGGAGGCAGACTCTGTCCATTCTTTGTACAGTCTATGGGCAGGAGAGTTGGCAGGCTCGGCTCAAACAGCATATCCCCCGGGTGAGTAAGTAGCTCTAACCAAAGTTGTTACTTTCACCTCCTCTCTGTATGGGGCCTCTCAAGTGACCACAAGTGAAAAGCTGTCACTGACTTGAACACAGCTAAAATGCTTTTATTTTTGTTTTAATGTTTCTTTTGGTCATAATATTTCACGTGTTGAAATTAACCAACAATGGTTCCTGATTCAGCTTGTGTTGCTGTTGAATCCCAGAGACTGCTAAGATCATCATTAACACTGACAAAAACAACTTCCCAGACAGAGGCAGCATTCAGCTTTTCATTAATATTCAGGACGCAGGTGGAGGACAGCAGCCTGACACTGTGGGGGTGTGACACACATACACACAGCCTCACACACTCGCACTCACTCACTCTCCTTGAACCCCTGTACCAAAGTCCTGCTTTCATATAAACACCAGAGCAGCTTCTCACTGTTTTTCCATCTCTCTGCTTTATTCAGAGTTACTGATGCTCACCGTCTCTGTGTGCTTCATTCAGCTCTGCAGTGCTTCAGAAACAGAGAAACGACACTGATACTAAGTGATGGAGTAAAGAGGTTAGTTTTTGCCCAAACAGTAATGTCCTATTAACCCTTTATATAGATTTTTTTTTTTTAATTTTGGGTTTTAAGCGTCAGTCCCTACAAAACCAAAAAAATGTAAGACCTACAATTCAGAGTCAGAGTCAGGGTAGACTGACAAACTGCCTGATATTCAGCACAGAGCTGGTTATCTGTAATAGAGTTTATTGTCAACAATCAATGATAGGAGTCATAATTAAACAGTGGGCCAATCAGTGCCTCCCTCTGGGTCTGCTCTCACACCCCCGTCTGTCCCACCTAATGCCCCGCCCACAACACTGATTGACTGGACGCCACAGGACTGTGTGATGTCCAAGTATCTGATCATTTCTGTATATGGTATTACAATCAAACCTTAACCGAAGGCCTTGAACAAAGTTTTGTTTATTTATTTATTTATTTCTGAGAGTCTTTAATGTTACAAATATCAGTAAGCAGTTTAAAAAAGGTTTGATGTCTTTTGATAGTGTACCTTCATCTGTATAAAACCTGCTTATTTTAAATATTTGCTTGTCTCCTGAATGATACCAGATTAAACAAAAAATCACCTGTGGAAAAAAAAGAGAAAAAACCTTGACACCTGTGTTTTCTCTCTGGCTCGTCTTCTCTGTTTTCTCGCTCATTCAGATGTCTACAGCTTTGTATTGATGCTTGTAAACTGTAGAGAAAAAAAAACAAGACAGATGGCCGGATGATACACCTGAAGACACCTGTTGTTCTTTGTCTGTGAGGAGGAGGTTATGAGGTGTTTGCATGTGTCTGCACAGGCCTCTGTGAGCTTTGGAGTCTTACGCTGCAACCTGACAGTTAGATGTTTAGATTATCTGAAACAAGAGCTACTGCAACAGTATTGACAATGACCACACTGTTGTGCTAAAAAGCATATAGTACTACTGCATATAATGGTTTCATATCAGTGGGGTAATGGCTTTTAATGCTGGCTGCTGTCTGCCATGAAATAAAGAAGAAGAAAACTCAGGAGCAGTGATTTAGCTGGCTTTTACCTCCGTATGAGACCATGTCGTGCCCTGGTGTCACTGCCCCCATTATTAAAGGAAGTTAAGCCTTTCTCTATTTGTCCCCTTTGTTTACTGCCCTTGATTTAAGAGCCATTAAAAGTCTTTCTATCAGGTTTGAGTCAGTAACTACGTAAGCACTTATAAAGTCTCTGAGAGGGTACAGTACCAGCAGCCTGGAGAGTCTTTCTGATGAAAGGAGTAACCATTGAGAACAGGTTCACTCTGTGGCCTTCAAACATAGATGTTGCTCCAAGCAGCAGAGTTTAAAAGCATGTCTTTTTCTATGCTAACAAAGGGTTGTTGGTTTGGACACCTCTGAGGGGGAAAAAGACCTGATCTGCGCTGTGGCCTTCACCGAGATCACAGAGGGGTGGTCTTTATTCTGTACCAATCATTTCTAAATACAAGTCTGTGTTCACTAAAGTAGACCTGAAGTTATTCCACAAGAGGAAAAGAGAATTCTGTGCCTGAACCTCCAGGTCTAATGAGCATTAAAACCAGTGCTCCTCCAGCTCTGTGGCTGGCCCTCTGTTTTCTCATCTTAGGACAGAGATCAGCCTTAAAAACAGCTGAACTCAGATGGTGATCTGACACATGTCTGTGTCATTCTGGACAAAATGAATCAAACAATATGGGACAAAATCAGACAACAAGAATCCAAATCTTTATCAGAATGAGACTGTGAGGAGTAAATCATCCCAGCGTTACTCCTAAGCTCTGCCACTCTTCCTCTCCTCACTGTATGTGATATAGCCTTCATCCCTCACTCCCTGCTCCTCTGTCATTTCCTCCCTCCTTCCCTCCTTCCCTCCCTCTGGACAAGAAAAGCTCTTCTGTCTCCCTGAAGGTCTACTGTCAAATACCCGCTTACCTCGGCACTCTTCTATGATGTGTGTGTGCGCGCGCATGTGTGTGTGCGTGAGTGTGTGTGTGTTTAGTGTGTACCCCTGCAGCTCTACACCAAACGACCCAGCACACTACTGCATCTCTGGGATTTGACAGTTTTACTCAACTCTGTCTTTTGGGAAACACACATTGAGATGAGAGGGCGTTTACAGGGCTGCAGGAGTGTGTGTGTGTGTGTGTGTGTGTGTGTGTGTGTGTGTGTGTGTGTGTGTGTGTGTGTGTGTGTGTGTGTGTGTGTGTGTGTGTGTGTGTGTGTGTCTTCATCAGTATGTGAGTGTGTATGGTGTAAGCATGTGAGTCCCACAGGCCTCACAGCTCTGCAGAACACAGACCACAGCAGGGACTCAAAAGTTCTTCTCAAAGTAATTCCTGATGCAGCGGGAGAGGTCGCTGCAGAGCAGAGAGATACTGCTGGCTTTAATTCTGTATCAGACCAAACCATCACTTTAACTTCGGGGTCTCAATGAAGTCAGAGTGAAGTTTATGATTGTTTGATAATTGTAATTAATCTGGTCTCCTTTTAGACCTTGGCAGCTATGTTTTTGGATCAAACTCAGAAAAACTATTTTTAGCAGATACATTGATATTGTAAGAAACAAGGCATGGGTGTAACCAGATTAAGTTTTTCATTATGGACTTGACAAACAATAAAAAGAAGTATGTACTGTCCATGATAAACACACACTCACACACTAGGGCTGCACGATTTTGGCCAAAAATAAAATCCAGATTTTTTTCTTTGAAGACTTGATTTTCAATTATGATTTTTTATTCAGTGACAACTTCACCAATTCTACATGACTGACTTGCTCTTGCGCTATTTAGCCACAAAATTATCGCCTTCATTTGCAAACGCCATATTTGTTTACACTGGTGTGTGTGGGAACTGGTGAGCACTCCCGCAGGAAGGAGGAGTCTACGGTGGCCTGGAGGCGCGAGACATGATAGAGAGGAAAATCAATTTGACGATTTTTATTGTTTTAACATTGTCTTAATCAAATAATTAGATAATCTTATAGACAAATAGGACACTATAAGCTGTTATAGTGACACATACTGTGAATAAGCCTTTTCTGTTCATAGAAAGGACTTGGATATGTTTTCTTTGAACGCATCTTTTCAGACTGCCTAACCACCCAGATGCAGTTCAAGAAAAAGTCCCCAAAAGAGAAAAAAAAGTCCTGAAAAAGAAATGCAAAGAATTTCCAGACTCTGATGATATCAGAGGATAATGAAAAAGCCTCATTCAGATTAATGCAGTATGTACAGTAGATAGCACAGCTCTAACAGGGTTTATGTGTGGGTGTGTTCAAAATGTACAAACCATAAATCAGTGATAGTAATGGTGGGAAAAATGTTCCATTTAGATTTGCTACAGAGTCCTTGACCCTCATTACACGCTGGACCAAACACATCAATCACCTTAATTACTTTAGTGGATATTAAGATGAATGGTGGGAAAGTAGCATGTTAAGAAACCTATTGATTTTGATATTATGGTCAAAATTAGATTACTTACTCACACACTCTTAGAGATAATCATGTAATGAGAGCCTGTTCAAAATGATGCACTACCCTCGAGGCCTCCTCCCTGCATCCACATCCTCTTCAGTGCATGAGGCCAGATACCTCCCTGGACTAGGGTCGAGCTTTGGGTTGTTTTTGAGCTCAGAGTTGCTGCTCTTTGCAGTCTGACTACATGTACTCTTTCAGCCTGGTGAACTGAGTTAGTTCAGAGTTGTTTTTTTTCCTCCGCAGCCCTTTCAATTAATCAAAACTCTGAGAGGGTGGGCTGGAACACCCACTCTTTATGTGTCTGGTGTTGAAGTCCAACAAAAGCTTTTTCTCTGAACCTAACATTATATTATTGCAATCATGTCATTATAAATTTCAGCCTTGCTCATGTTCAACACTCATGAAGTCATCATTGACGTCAAGCCCTACCACAGTACATAAAAACCCCGGCTGTCACCTATAATCCCAGTCTGTACTGACTCATTCACATTTCTTCGCATTTGAAATAATAGTATTTAAAAAAAGATGGATGATAGAAATGTTGCTTCATCTAGTACAACAGGAAGAGGAAGTCTCATTCATCACACGCCTCACTGAAGTAAGTCCTTGCATGAAATAAAGTCGAACTTAAAACTCTCCTCTTCATCTGTAAACCTCTTCATGGCTTGACTCTATCATATCTTAAAGAGCCTGAAATTAAATATATTAACTCAGAGTTTCCTTTTCACCATTCATGAGTTTCTTTATGGTGTTACTGCTATGTCTGATATGACCAGCTGTGTTGATGTATTATATTCATACTCACTATTTAAGGTAGTATTTTAGAAAAGGATTTTAGATGCTGTTGCTCTCATGCCAAGCTTTGTTTATTTGTTCTAAGCTCTCTCCGCTCCGGGAAATCTATCAGACTAGCCTTCAACATGTTCTGGAAAAAAAAAAAAAAAAAACAACATTATTCAACTGAAAAGACGTGGAAGACTTTATTTAAATTTTAAACTTGCATGGGTTACAGGGAGTGACTACCTCCAGCCTTTAGAAATAGAGTCATTGTGATAGTACTCATAGTACTATCCCAAGGCTGGCTGCAAAAGCCCTGGATTGGATTCAAAGACAGCACACGATTACATGATAAGCAAACATGTTTACAGCCTGGGACAAAAATGATTCTGGTCTGATGGCACATTTTTTTATTTAGACACATGTTACAGGGGCTACTCTTGTTAGACATTCATTCTGTAGATATTAAGGTTGGGAGTTTTGCATAATAGGTAGTATGGCTGACACACACCGAAAAGCTTCTTTGGCCCATTTTTAACCGGGATAGATTTTTCCTCACTGCTGTGACCAAGAGTTGGACTCAAAGAAAGTATTGGGCCTTTGTCAGTCACATATCTAACAATACGGATGAGTCCTGCAATAACATCTGTTTGAATTCTACAAATATAGATAGATAGATTGACTGATTGATGAAATAAATGATCAGACCTCTGTCACAGCTTGATTCATTATGACCTCCTGTTCGAGATCAAAGATGCAATAACTTTAAGTGGTTCAGCTCCTGCCATGATGGTCTGGTATTACAGCATGCAAAATACACTTACTCACTGTCAACAAGCCGTTTAGAACCATTGACTCTCACTTTAATTCAGGTGAATCACTCCACCTCAAA